CTATTGAGGGTTAAACTGCTCCAGGCCTGGGGGCCGGGCCCCCGCCCCAGGAGGGCACCACGGGGCCCCGTGTTTACTGTCAGCACAGCCAGAGTGCTTTTCAATTTACTATGAACACAAGAGTCACTCGGGACAGGAATTCGGGGGCGGGGCCGGAGGGCGTCCCGTCCCAGCGAGACGGAGGCAGAGGTTTATAGCATGGGAGCGCTGGGAGCCTGTCCCTTCTCTCCGCCTGGATGGTGGCCGGGGGGGGCGCTGAGATCTCAGGTAGGTGGGATCTCCCAGACTGGCTGCAAGGCCTTCTCTCACCTGTACGCACCTGGGGCGGCGACTCCGGGGTACGCGGGAACTGGCCCAGCACATCTCAGGGAGGGGGAGAAGGTGCGGCGGGAGCGCCCAGGGTGTACCCACGGGGTCTGGTCTAAGGGAGGGTGGGAGGGAACCAAGCCAGGGGAAATGTAGTTTGAGGAGATCTGTGCGGCACTGGCATTGTCTCCCCAAAAAGAACGGAGGGAGACTCCCATGGGTTGGAGCTCGCCTCGCCGGGGCGCTGGAGAACGTGCTCTGGTCCTCGTCTCCATCCTCTCCCCCCGTATTGTTGTGATAGTGGATCTCCCCGGCGGCAGGCTCGGGGCATCCCCCTCGGGGTACAGGCACGTGCTGGGGGAGCCCGTGTCCTGGGCGCTCCTCGAACTCGCCTCCGCACCAAAGCCCTCTGCTCTCAGCCCGCTCCCCAGTGTGCAGTCGCTGCCGTGACCGGGAAAACACAGCTCGGTTCACACCTGCTCTGGTTCTGTCTGCCTGGCACGAGTGGGAAACCGGAGGCACCAGAGACAGGAGAACAGGCCCCCCTGTGATGGGGGCGGGGGGCAATGTGGGGTGACACCACCTCCCGCCTGCCCCTGGGCTAGCAGAGCCCCAGAGAGCCCAGGTGCCTGAACACCCCTCCTCATGGTACGTGGGGCCTGTCTGCAAAGCCAGGAGCAGGCACGTGCCCTGTGTATATAGCTGGGCCCCGGCTGCTGCCCCTTGACTCTATCTGTATGTTGAATAGAGTCTCGGGGCGGGGGGGCCTCTGGTGGGTTGTCTCTGCCCTTCCCCCCCAAGCCAGCTCTGCCCCACACTGGGAGGGGGCTGTCTCCACCCCTCCCCAGCATCTGGGCTGTGTCTCTGGGAGTGTATATCAGCCCCCGCAAAGAAGCAAGAGCCCTGGGGAGGTGGTGGTGGTTTGGATGGCAGTGCCCCCCTCTCCCCCCCGAGGCTGGGTAAGTGGCTCTGGGGCCTGGCTAACTGCGAGATTGATCCATACTCAGGTTCCTCCTCGTTGGATCAGATCCAGAAGGCGTCAGGGAGCACGGGGGCTGCCCACCCATCCACCTCCAGCCGGGGGACACATGAGGTGAGTGGCCTGCCATGCTGGGACCCTGTGCAGTGCTGCTCCTTGTGGGTGCAGGGCCATGGCCCAGTCCGGGGAGAGATTAGACCCTGCTCTGATCGGAACCGAGCGGGAAGGACGCTCTGGGAGCCAGGGAGAAGGAGGGAGAGGAGAGGGTGGGATTGGGGTGGGAAGAGAGAGAGAGATCCCAAGGACCTTCCTGGGGAACAAGCAGAGCTGAGGGGAGACCTTCCCCAGGGAACAGGTGGAGCAGGGTGGAGATCCTCCCTGGGGAACAGGAGGAGCTGGAGGGAGACCCTCCCAAGGGAACAGGCGGAGCAGGAGGGAGACCCTCCCCGGGGAACAGGCAGAGCAGGAGGGAGACCCTCCCAAGGGAACAGGCAGAGCAGGAGGGAGACCCTCCCCGGGGAACAGGCGGAGCAGGAGGGAGACCCTCCCCGGGGAACAGGTGGAGCAGGGGGGGAGACCCTCCCAAGGGAACAGGCGGAGCAGGAGGGGAGACCCTCCCGGGAAACAGGCAGAGCAGGGGGGGAGACCCTCCCCAGGGAACAGGCAG